GCTGTTACTATGTTATCACTTATATTTATTATTTGTTGCTATACTGATATCATAGTTCTATACTATTATCATGATGTTAAATATTCGTAACCAAGTTTTGTGTTTGTCGGTGTTTCCGAAACGTGATAACTAATGACGACCAAAGTAAAAATTGTTTGGTATCTCTTTAGTCAACAAATTTCTTATTTATAAACTCTATTGTTATGAGACATATTGGAATAAATAAAAAAAATTATTATAATCTTTATTACAGTAAAACCTCGATTATCTGGGGCAATGGTGGGGAAGAGTCACACGGAAAAATGATAATCACGGTTAATGGAGATTTTTATTAAACGGATTATGAAAAAATTTATAATTTTATATCCACATTAAGAGTGTGTACGATATTATTTTCTCACTGACTGTTTTTGAAACAGCTATAGGAAATGCTAAAAATAAACAAAATAATATGAAACAAATTCGATGGACATGAAAATTTCCCATATGTATCAGTTATAACATGTTTGATAAGTATGATTGTTGAAATGAACTTAATTTTAAATAGACTATTGTATAATGAATTTATATGTTCATGGACAATGTTGCTAACATTTTCATTTTTACCGATAAATAAATGTTGATCAATATAATTTGAAACATATATATTGCGGGATTAACAAATGTTTGAATACAATGAAAATTTTTTCACATGCCTTTGGTCAATCCCTAGTTAACATAGTGACTTAATTAAATCTGTTTTCAAAATTTAAATTCATCAATCCCTAGTCTCCCAATTTTGTCTAGATTTTTGGTGTTTTTGACATTTTATTAGCGTGGTGTAAATTTTCTTCGTGTTCATTGATCTTTGCATGCGCGTATTGGCGATAGAACATTTCTAAGAATTTTAGTACCAAGCCATAACATTAATAATAAATACTTCTGCATTTCGAACGATTATCAGTCAATTAGAACTAATATCTACGGAAATAAAATAATAATGTATTGTAACAATTACAATCATTGCAAAGTATAAAATAGATTATAATAAATTAATTTATGTTAGCACTAATCAAATAGAACTAGTTGTTTTCAACTATTCAGCAAGTCAAGTTTAATTTTTTTCGTCAGTAATTTTTTTTTTCAATTTTAAAATGAATTAAGACTGGCGTTTGAGTAAAAAAGGACGTCTCAGGCTATTTGCATTACGGAAAAAACCTAATTTGGCCAACTTGAAACGCAAAAAACGCGAAGATCATAATAAATCAAATATCAAATCATGATAAATAATGATGAGGTAATTATAATGTATGTTGATTGATATATAGTGAATATATTTTTTGTATTAATTTTCAAATTAAAATAATTTTATAAATTTATTTTGATTGATAAATTTATTGATTTTACAATGATGTATGTTTTTTACTTTTTACTTATAACAACTTTATAACGTTTTTGAGTAGAAATAATGCTTTGATTTTTTACTTCAGTCCCTCTTTGAAAGGGAAAATTCATCTAATTGGTACTTTGGGGAGTTAAAAGTAAAAGATCAAGAAGTTTTCAAAAGCGTTAGGAAAAATCATAAAAAAGTAACGGAAAAACGGGAATTTTTACGTATAATCAGTTTTTGACAAAATCAATTTTTTTATTTTGCTGTACCTCAAAAACGAATTATTCTAAATACTTGAAATTTTCATCAAATGTTTATATTAGCCGTATCTATTTACGATTACATTTTTAAAATATTTTGACTTTTTTGAGATATTTAAAGACAATTGAAATTTTTGAAGTTTTTTTGTGCCTATAAAAAAAAATTAGCAATCCAAAAAAATCTTTCAAATTTAATAAAAGGTTTATTATAAGTTTTACTTATTGTAGTAAAAAAAAATCAAAAATCGTTAGTTACAATTTTTGTTTATAAGCATTTAAAGTACAAAAGTATTTTCTTAGTATATATTGAATTGTGCATGCGCGTATGGACGCTAGAACATTTCTAAGAACTGTAGTATTTCTAGCTATAACATAAATATTGTATCGTTTATTTATCATAGTACCAAATACATTTTTTTTTTAAATTTTCTTTTACTGTATGCTTATAAAAAACGAATAAATTAAAACAATTATTTCCTACAAAACATAGACAAGAAAATAAAGAATTCAAATGTGTTCTCAAAATTAAAATCAGGATTTAGTTACCGGATGAATTTTTCTTCTTCTTTTTGATTCGAATTTGCGAAAAAACGACCAGCTCTCAGCAGGCTTAAACAGTTAGGTAGGTAATAAAATAATAATATATATGTATATATAAAATCCAGGTTTGTACATTCGATTGTACAGTCCAAATAAATAAAGTCCATATTTATACAATCCAGATTTTAAATTCCATATATATACGGTCCAGATTTATTTGCGCTCCCACAGTATTATTTATGTCTTATAGCACTATTCTGTTCAAACTACTGCCTATATTATAATATTGGATCATCAAAACGTGAAGTTGTGCAAATTAATATAATGTAAAGATAAAATGTTCATTTTAATTTTTATTGTAGTTCCGGGAATTCGATGTACGGTGGCATGATAAACGCGATAACGGATTACACACATTAATGTTCATTTTCTACTCACACATTGACAAAGCCAAAATGTTCATGTGATATAAAATGCCTAAATATTACTCTTTAAAACATTCTATGCTCCAGCCCCTTAATGAAAAATTTGAGTCCCCCCCCCTAGAAGTAAGTCTAAATACGCCACTGCCATGAATAATCATATATTGATATAATGATATATATAATGATAATATACTTTTATAAAAGTTTTAACAAGACTGGAAGTATAAGAATTTTTAGTTTGATTTCGATATATTGATATTAAGAATAAATTTAAACATCATAAAATATAATAATTCAAAAAAATCAATTTTACGAATTTTTATATTTCATTGACCAACATATTTTTTAAATACATTTCAAATATTTACTCGAAAGAATAAAGTTGTTATTATTCATAAGTTCACTTTTCTATTTTTACCTCAACTAAAAGATTTTACTAAAAAAGTCACTTCAAGAATTTCGTCTATCGCAAGCGACAGATAATTTCATAAAGAATACCGCATATTATCACCCGTGATAGGTGATACAACCTACAATTACACATTTCTTATGGAATGTGCACATTTGGTAGAAGATCCCCGATTGTTTTTTGCAATTTTATGCTTGACATTTTTCTAACGTCAAATTATTTTTTTCGACCAATTGTTTTTGCAACCTGGACAACTACGTTCACGAACATTAACTACGGAAAAATGAATGAATCTTACTTCTGCGTCGTGTATTTCGAAATCGTACGGACTACGGGGATGGACAACGGTCTCCTCGCACAGTCCCGGGTCCCTTTTCGCCGTCCTCCGTAGACAATTTCCCATCGTGAATAAACGGCGTATCGATAATAACGGATACCAAACGTAATTGTCGCCGCGTTGTGCGAGGTACGTAATTACAAATCGCACACGATCATTACTGACGATTGTTCGTTCGGAATCATGTACAACAGGGCTTGCCGCGCCGCCGCCAAGAAGAGCAATTTTCCGTAATTTTTCGCTATCCGGCGTAGTAGTGTTTTACACGGATAACTTTTTCTCGCCACGGCGGTATTGCTAGGCTCGTACGCGCCGGATAAACGGTTCGTTCCTCGCCCGTCTGTGAAGCGCGCAAGACATGTCCGCGCGCATCCGTGTATGGCGCGCACAACCCTTTCGGTCGATCGTACCACAATTGATTTTGATTCGATTGATTTTCGTGGATCGCGTTGCCGCGCACTGCGCGCGCTGTCGTCAGGATTCGCAACGGGTCCGGGACGTCGAGTGAAACGGCATACGAACCGGATGGCTTTTTTTCTTCCCCCTCGGCGGCCGTTGATCCGCACCGACGATGGTTCCGTGCGCGGCATAGTATGTTACGTTCCGCTCCGAATCGACCGACTCGCATCGCAGCGCGTGTTCGGCCCAAAACGGGGAAACGCGTTCGGATACATCGGCGACATTGACGTGCCGTATCGCCGACCGAACAGCGAATTCCGTTTCAACAGCGTCCACGAGTACATTCACCCCGTCCGGTCCCTGGCCGTGCGCGATCGTGTTACGGAAACCCGCGGAGCCGCGACCACTGGGCGTCATCACCGTGTCCTGTTCACCCGGTTCCGTTGCCCGGACTCCGTTCGGCGCGAAGACGTGTTACCATAAACGCGGCTCTGTACGAATTGTGCGTCGCTATGAACACGGTTTTACGAGCAGTCGAGTCGGTAACGTTGACGTTAACGATAATGGTGCGCCGTGTTTACAGCCGTTTTTTTAGTTCACTAAAGGCCACCAGAAATTTCATCCATAAATCCAAATATAATATTAAAAATAATGGGTGGTGCAGGTGGACAACACCAAGAAGAGTGGCGGAGATCGTGTCAAAATCCGAAAACCAATTTTTATGACTTTTCGACCGATATGAAAAATACGTTTCATAACGATATGCGACTGAAACAATACAGTTAATGACGGCAGTGAGAAGTGGAATAAGAAAGAAAAAAAGGTTAGTTAAAATTATTTGCATTTTACATTTATGACGTACAGCGGCGAACCCAGGGGGATGGACGCGGGTGCTGGTAAGGTGTGGGGGGGGGGCACCATGGCTCGTGCCATGGTATTTATTTTTGTTTTATACATTTCAAAGTTACCCAGATAATAGGACAATTCACTCCGTTATCAAAACTAAAAGCACACCATTGGAACTGGTGAACGAAAATCTACCATGTCGCACGTGTGTAAGAACGGAGACAACACATGCGAGTACGACGTCCGAGAAATATTCCAATTCGGTCCGTGCTACAGTGTACACCTATCACGGTACTTTTATCATCAATGACGTGTTATCAGTTCTGATCGCTTATCACTCGATCCGGTATATACCACAGTCTTTATCTCTTCGCTCGATGATGGTTCTCCGGACCGGTATCACTCAAAATGCAGATAAAATATTTTGGTTGATGTGTTTAAATTGAATTCGCCTATTTAGTCTTAACCATTTATTATTATTTTTTGTGCGACCGACTTCTTCCGTGCAATTACAATAATTTATTTGAGAATTTTCTGTAACATTTCTCGGACCTTCATTACGTTGTTTTTACTGTGTATAAAATACGGATATGTTGAACAAATTTTTTACAAAAACATATCTTATATGTTGTTTGACGTTAACCCTCGTCCAGTGGATCGAAAGTAAGTGAACCTACGCTTTGAATTCTATATTTTATTAACGAACGTCTGGCTAACAGGTAAAAATTCTGAATATGTGACCTGCGGGACCGTTACGAAATTATATAACATCGATCTTAAGGTTAGGCTGCACTCGCACGACGTCAAATATGGTGCTGGCAGCGGTCAACAGTCCGTTACTGGATCGGACCTATCGGAAGATATAAATTCTCATTGGGAAATTAAAGCAGCCACAGGAAAACATTGTAAAAGAGGGTATAACAACTGTTATTCATAATTGTTTTTAAAACATTTTGTGATAAATTGTAAAACATTCTTTAGCGAGCCAATTAAATGTGGTAGTATCATTAGACTCACGCATTTAACGACCAAAAAGAACTTACATTCTCACCTGTTCAGTTCCCCTTTGTCTGGGAATCAAGAAGTATCTGCTTATGGCAGCGACGGTGTAGGAGATTCTGGAGATCATTGGTATGTGGATTGTAGTGGAGATTATTGGGAGAGAGACGATGATATTCGACTGAAGCATGTCGACACTGGATCGTAAGTCAAGTGAATGATAACATTACCTTAGTAATTAGTTTTTGTATTACTGTTTCATTATTAGGTACTTAATGGCTTCAAGTTTATCTTATGGTCGACCGATTAACGGGCAAAAAGAAATTGCTGCTGTCAAAAACCCAGGATCATTTTCAACATATTGGCGCGTTAAAGAAGGCATATTTGTTCATAAGGATGACCCAAGTGATTTTCATTCTGATTACTCACATATCGAACTGTAGTATTGGTCCATTATTTAAGTTTTGAATTCTCAATCGTTTATAACTTTGTACATGTATTAAACATTGGAAAATATAAATTATTTATAGTAAACATATGTACTTCCTTTGATATTGAACGAATATGTTTAACTATTGAAAAACAAGATTTACATTGGTTAACAATTATATAATTTTTATTATATTTAATATAAAACAATAGTATTCAATAAATTTACAAAAATATTTAATTAAAATGTAGCTTAGATTTGATGTGTACATAAATCTGTGTGTAAAGGTGGATATTATTTATTATTTTTTTCTAATAAAATATTGATTCTTCTACTTGTTTTTGTGTATTGCCTATTTATTAAGTAAAAAATAAAAATAAAATTATCAATTGTTTTCATAATAAATCTTAATAAATCACTATAACTTATTACCGGTAACTATTCTGTTAATATTTTAACTTATAATAATAATCCAACTATTTATTAAATATTATTCTAAATAATTTAAGTCCTTTTACAGTTAACTATATTTATTCGTGTTCATGAATAATGATTAAAATAAAAATCTCTAGATTACTTTTGATTTTAAAATTTTAATCATATTACTATGGCAGTAAATTTGACCCTTTTTTTTTTTGATATTACAAATTACATTTCTTAAAATATAAAAAATGTAGAAAACAATTCAGTTTATCAGCAACCTAGAACCGCTTAATTTATCATGTTATATATTAATTTGTTTCTCCATCAGCATCCTGGAAAAATATAATGATTTTTCTTAATTAAAATATGAAAAATTCTTAAATTAAATCTACATCCAAGTTAAAAATAAATATATTTGTTTTATATTTTACTTAAGTAAAAATATAATTTTTTTTTTTCTGTTTAAAGAATTTATAAGTCTAGAGTTAATATTATCACATACAAAATAAAATTAAATCTTAAAAAGGTATAACTCAACTGTTAATACATTTACAATGATCTTTAGAATTAATAAGAATCAGTATTGAAAAAAAAGTATTTAAAAAATCCATGGGTAACCACAACAATTTTCATTGTTAAAAATCAATATCATGTTATATGAAACAACCTAGAACTAGATAAAACAACCAAATCTTACTTTGAGGAACAAAGTTTTTATCACCTTGATGATATTAATTTATAATACCTCTAAAATACTGTTGACAACTATGAAAATTATAAATACTGACTACAAATTTATCATAATGAATTTAATTGCTCACAATTTTTAATAATAGTAAATTATAAGTGAAAAAAATAAATAATTTTATATTGATATTGTAATTAAAAAAACTGAAGAGTAATTTAATTTATAGCTGTATAAACTAAGCGTTTAAAACTTTTACTACCTTTAAAATTATTATAGTATTAAAAGCATTGATTTTCAAAGTGTGAAAAAGAAATATAATTATGTTAAAAAATAAAAATAATTATTAATCTATTTAAAAAATTACAATTAATTTTAAAACCAATAAATTTCACTCTAAAAATAATATGCATCCAGACATAAGCCTTAGTTAAATACTTAAATATATAGAAATTATTGAGTGCTTTGTTTGTAAAATGTTCCATAATAACTGACCCAATGGATACCATTACCATATTATTAGAAAGAAACATTTTTCAAATCACACTGATTAGTACTCAATGTCAAAAAATATAATTTATCTAAAGATCCTACTATTCAAATAATTAACTTCCACCGTAATATTACAACCATAAACCAACTAACCAATTCCAATGATAAAGAAGTTAAAAATTACAATAATGGATTCAATGCTTTAAGAGTAAAATTATGACCCAGTAAAAAATATTAAATTTTAAATTGCACGTTGAATCATTTTGTTGTTCTATTTTTATTTCTATTAAGAACATTTAAAATATAAACAAAGTATATTTAAAATACATACATTCAATAAAATGTTTAACAAGTTGAAAATAATGATTAAAAAAATTTGTGTATTACAATTTATTTCTAAGAATATAATGTACAGTGAAAATGTAAATAAGGAATAGGTAAAAAATATTTGTAATAAAAATTATTTCAATATTGAAATAGTTATTATTATAATCATTACAAATTTTGATTGTAAAACACAATAAATATATTAATGAAAATATCAAAAATATTATTATTTACATTAAACAAATGAACATATCAATTTATGGCCAATAATGTACTTTTTAGTAAAATAAATAAAAGCAATTTTTCAAAGTGCAACTAATAATTTTATAATTCGGTTACAATTTTTCAACAAAGGTGATTGATTTAATGTAATGTTATGATTATGTAATTTGAGGTACGATCTATTTAAAAGCGAGAATTAGATCTTAAATGTACCTTATTTAAATACTTGAATGCAAAGGTTGCACAAACCCCAAGACCAAATACAAACACATATGGTAAAAATTTGAAGTTAATGCTCGGTTTCTTCCTCATCAAAAAAGACACCATACTTAATTTCTTGTCAGAGTAAGGTGGATATTTTGCTCTGAAATTCAATAATATATTAATGTTATTAAAATTAATATCCCTTATAAAACAACAATTGTGTTTTACTAACGAAGAAAACGATTCTCCAATAATGTTGAAATCTTTGACCAAACAACTTTTCCTGTGTGTAAATGTATCAAATGAGTTTTTTCCATGATAAGCTCCCATTCCACTTAGACCAACACCTCCAAAAGGTAGATTTTCAACTATAAAATATTTATTCATATTAATAATACTGAAAGTAAGATGTCCTTATCAAATGAGTAAAATAAAAATTAATAAGAATATATTAGTAGTTAACAATTATTACAGAACATAAAGCTAAAATGAATTTGCAATATTTACAAGATTATGGTATGTTGTGTGTCTTAAGTCAATAAAGCTTGTTGTAGTGTAGCTATGTGCACATCATAGGTGTGTGTAGCAGTGCTGAACCTAAACATTTTCAAGGGCTGATTGATAAACAAATGTTATATATATGTTGATTTTAATCAATTGGAATATAAAATTGTTTTAACAGATCTATATTGTATATTAAATTGTGAAAAAATAAATAATTAAGTTTTGATTACATTTTGAGTGTAGTTGGTTAATTTAAAAAATCATGATAAATATTGGATTCATAATATTCAAGAACTTTTATAATTTTTTAGATTAGGAAAAATTATATATTTTTTATATTGTATTAAGAATAAAAAATAAATATAATGACAATTAATAATAATATAAATTATTGAACCGGACGTGATGATACACATTCTGGTCAGACCAAATCTAACTTATTAAATAACTATTCAGTCCGAACCAAACCCAAGAATGATGAAAATATTTTAACCTGACAAGACCAAACTCAGTTTCTGATCCAATCTATGTAGACACAGAAACGGGTGGATCTTTATTTTATACATTATTAAAAAACCAAAGCCAACACCTATTAATTATTTAAGTACAATTATAACTCATTATTTTAAAGTTTTAAACTCTAAATCTTCATTTTATATGTATAAATATAACACAGTGAATATTGATTGTTACAAGCTACATAAAATAGCTATCAGTCAGTAATTATTTGTTTTCAGAAAGGTGAACATCTAAAAATTAAACAGAATACCAAGCTATATCTCATTAATATCTGCTTTAATAATTTTGTGTGTAATAATCTAAATTCTTTTTATTATAAAAATCAAAAAGTTGGTTGCAATAAATATAAATACAATTTTTTTTTTTGTAACCTTTAATACTTCTGATTAACATAACTTAATTTCTGGAGATTTACTGGGGCATTATTAATAACTTATTGATATGCAATAATTAACTATATCTAATTTTGTTATAATTGATTATATAACATATATTATAAATAAGATAATATATAAACAAATAAATAAAATTATTAAAATCATAGACACACATTTTTCCCCATCTACTCTACATGCATTACATCTGACTATTTTGTACATGTAAATCTAAGTGTTAGTATCCTTGTGAGACTGATATAATGAAAATTTGAACTGATCATCTTTAATTAAATAATAAAATAAAAATTAGTAAATAATTAATACTTGTTAATAAATATATAAATAGTTTAAATATAGAAATATATAAATAAAATGCATAACCTGGAGAATTAAGATATGGGTATTTAACTATTAAATGAGTGTTTTATATGTAAAATACACATCTTAATATTACAAGCTATGCATTTTATTTATATATTTCTGCAAATAAACTATTTATTTATTTATTAATTAATCATCTTTAACCATAAATATATTATTTAAACCATGTTCATGAAAAAAAGTTAATGGAAGAGGGAGAGCTGAATGAATTAACTATTCACAAAAACCATCAACTATAATTGTGAAATGAGAAATAATTTTACAAAGAAAATATACAAAAAAAAAAAATACTATCATATAGCACCACAATAAAAATCAAAGATGACCATATATTTTTAAAGCTAAAATAATAATATATAAAAACTTTTTAATTAAAGTATTACATAATTTAAACAATAAAATGTTTTGATTAATCTTAATTGTAATACATGCACTAACATACAAATGTATATTCTTAGTTCATACATTTGATTAAAAACACATACAATTTTAGAAATTTAAATTAATTACTTACCAGTTACATGTGTCATAGTATCATTGACACAAACTCCACCAGCAATCACATTTTCCACCATATTGTCAATGGTTGCTTTATTTTTGGTAAATATATATAAAGCCAATGGGCTATGATTTCTGTACAAATTTAGGAATTTCCATCACCATAAGATTATTTTTAAATTTTTGTAATAGAATCTTGAAAAATAATTATTTGAAAAAACAAAAACAAAAAAAACGTGTATTTTTAATAATTATTTAATTTGTATAATTTTAACTTTCCTTTTACTCAAGATTTTACTACTATTTTATTGAAACAATATCACCTTAAAAGATTATTAGAATTAAAAATATAAAATATACTTTACACTATATACAATAATGGGTTGAAGCTGTTAATTCATATAATTATTTCTATACTTAAAGTATTATTAATTTTGTTAATTAGTCACCACTAACATTAAGGGATTATAAAGACACATGTATATCATACCATAACTCTATGTAAACAAGCAAAATTATTTAATTTATGTTCTGTTAGAATGGATTTATTAATAATTGAAAGAAAACAAGAAACTTTTGAAAATATCATTATGATTATTACCGGCATAATGACTAACAGTGTCATTTATACAAAAAGATCCGCTAGAAGTTTGTTGCATAAATAAATTCTGCATTTCTTGGTCGGAAGAGAATACATATAATGTTAATGGTTTACTCCTAAAGGATAAAACAAATATTTATTAGAATTATATTTAATTTTTTATTAGTTGTCTCCCCGTAAAATATTATTACAATTAAATCTTCATTTAATTATGTAACTAAAGTTAACATAATACTACATACATCTAAAATTTTATTTAATATCTATCTTTCTTCAAATACATTTTTTTACCCTTTTTAAGCAATCATTTCTTTTTATCCAATTAAGTTTCAATAATCATCCATCGGAAGTTGTGTAACAATAAGTTAATAAAGAAAATATCATATTCCACATAAAATTAAAAAAAAAAAATATTTAAATTAAATGAAAAATAAATTTTGCTATAACTTTCTAATTTTACTATGTAAGTAGTTATCATAAATTACAAATTATAATAAAATATAGAAAAAAGTTATCTTTTATATTTGTTATGATTATAGAGTATGATCAATAATATGCCTAACATGAAATTGTTAACGTTTATAACTATTGAAATATAAATATAAAATACACAAAGTATAGCTCTTACTCAGATAAGTGATAATTAAATACAATTCAGTATTTATATTTGTTTGATACAATCAAATTATATAAATTATGTTTGACTCAAATATATATATATATATATATATATGTTTGACTCAAATATATATATATATATATATATATATAGACAGTGTGTATAAGCTAAGAACATTAATTTGGGTAAAGACTTGGAATTTGAATTCTTTATTCTAATTGGTTTTAATTACATAAAAATACACATTTTTATGATCTTATTTAATTAAATTAAAAAAATTTGATGATCATAAAATGTGTATTTTTAAATAATTAAAACCAACTAAAAACAGAATTTAAATTGCAGGTATCTACGCAAAAATATTGAGTATTCTCAATTAGCATTTACACATTGTATATATATCCCTTACAGACCAAAAACATTTTTTTAATTATTTTATCAATTTACTTATATAACATATAACTAAGGTGTTACTAAAAAAATATTAAAAAAATAAATTATGATGATAAATCAAAATGTAATTGAATTGCAAACCACTTATACATTTTACCTGCTATTAATAAAATTTATAGCATCATATGCATTATCAACAATTACAACTGGCAAAATTGGACCAAAAATTTCTTCTTTCATTATGGGATCTGTAGATTTTACATCGGTTAATATTGTTGGTTCAATATAAAGATCTTTTTTATCATGTCTGCCACCAACTGCAATTGATCCACTATTATTCATTAATTCCAATAATCTCCTAAAAACAGGAAATATAAATTAATATGGTAAAATTAATGAATTTAATAATTTAAAATTACATACACAAAATGTTTTTCAGAAACAATCCTGCACAAATCTGGAGAATTTTTTGGATCATCAGTATACCACGCTTTTAAAAGTTCTCTAGCTTTTTCCACAAATGTATTTTGAACTTGACGAGTACACAAAATATAGTCAGGAGCAATACATGTTTGTCCAGCATTAATGCATTTTCCCCAAATTATACGCTTAACAGCAATATCCATATTTACTGTACCATCAATGTACAATGGGCTACAACAAGTAATTAAATATATCATAGTATAAAAGAAGATACATCATACAATAAGTATAATACCTTTTACCACCCAATTCTAATGTAACTGGTGTTAAATATTCATTAGCTGCAGCCCTAACTATTTTTCCAACAGCTGTTGATCCTGTATAGAAAATATAATCAAATCTTTGTTTAAGCAATTGAGTTGTTTCTTCTACTCCTCCTAAAATAACAGGGAAAGCATCCTGCAAAGAAAAAAATAAATATTAGAAAAATAAATAAACTGTACTGGAAGTTAATTTTACTTACTCTGTTGAGATATTTAGGTATTAGCTCAGCAATGATTTTTGCAGTGGCCGGAGCAATTTCAGAAGGTTTTATAACCACACTATTTCCAGCTGCTATAGCACCAACTACAGGTAATAGTGTTAATTGTAATGGATAATTCCAAGCTCCCATTACTAAAACGACTCCATAAGGATCTTTATGTATAAATACATCATCTAATATATTAATCAATGGCTTAGCAGGCTAAACATGGAAAATTTAGTTACCATCAACATTCATAAAAATATGTATATTATGTAATACTGTAGTTTACACACCTTTTCAATTTTCATCCATGATGCTAATGAATCAATAGCATTAATTATGTCATTTTTTAAGAATTCAATTTCAAACAGTACTGCTTCTTGCTTGCTCTGTTAAAGTATATTAATTCAGTTTAGTATTATTTTTTTATTATTATACCTATGGACAAATTAATGAACAATTATTGACATTATAACCTTTCTTAAATCAGAAGCTAAGGCTATTTGTAAGTCTGACGAATTTTCATTTAAGAGTTTGAGAAGTTGTCGTAAGTGATGTTTTCTGAGTTGTAATGATTTTATTTGATTACTATTGAAAGCGTTCCTAGCTTTCTCCACAATCTAGACGATAAGAATAGAAAAAAAATATTTTTGTTAATTTTACCATTGAATGTTTTTATGAATAGTTTAAACATTTGATATTTACATCTGCATAGTTGGCCATTATGTCGTTGGTTTCTACACCTGTAAAAATCCATAAAATCACAATGGGATTAGCATTTCAAATTGTGAATACAACACGGACAACAATGTACAACTACAATACTGATTTACATTTTTAATAAATGCGATAGAAAAACATTTACATACACTATACAGTTGAACCTAAACCGAAAAGTAATACAGATCTTACTATGATCGAGGCGGTCGAACCATTTTCTAGACGTATTTCAACTGTTAATCCAAATATATAATCACGTTATTATCGGTACAACACTATTGTGTAACGGTATGAAATAGAAAGTTCGTTTTAAATTCCCATCACTCGATGCATACGAAATGCAACGCGTGCACATACCGTTCATAATATTGTACAAGTGTAATAATACTTACAGCAGGGGTTTGATGAAAACAATGCGTATCGATATCAAACGCACTGAATGAACAAGGGACGCGGATCGCGTTGAGTGGAAAGAGCACGTATCGGTCACTGTACAACGACTATAATGTGTGTTACAACGATCAAGATTTGGTCGGGATCGTTAAGCAAATAATTAAATCACCGCTGACCGAGTGGTGGGAAAGGAATTAAAAAAAAAAAAAAACGAAAACGCACGCACGCACACTGAACAATGACATCAGTCACCGTCGCGCTCTCGATATCGACCGCCGCCGAACGACAGCAAAGGCGAGCAGCCACCGTAATTGACAAGAATAAACTGAACCGTCAGCGAGTCGACTCCCGAAGCCGAGTCGGTGCGCGCACGTATCGACATGGTACGTTGATTGCAACGTTTATTGTTATCATTATTATCACATATTGTTGTTGTTGTTGTTGTTGTTGTTGTTGTCGTCGTCGTCACTTGCTGTTGTTGCCTAGTCGGGCGGGAACCGCGCGGAGAGAACCAGCTGCTGACCGTGCGCTGTTAACACGCGTCCAGGAAGTGATTACGTGGTCGAGTGACTTTCGTGCGAGAAGCGGAAGGGCTGCACGTACGCGCGTGCATAACACGCGCTTGAGCAGTGGCGCCGAAACCGAACGATTCAATCCGGGCGTTTGATCATAAAAACTAAGAGACCCGACCCGCGATTGGATTTACGGCCTAATGATAGTTCACAACAACCGATTACTCGTTGACCCGACCACTGGTTACTGGACCAACTCAGGTCAGGCCCGTTGTTAGCGGTTGTGCGAGGAGGGGTTGCATACCCCTTACCTATGAATGATCTATTTATAAGGTGGACAATCATTAACAAATTAAATAATATTAGTATTATATAATTTTGTTTTAGAAAGTACCTAATTGGGAAATTTGTAATTTTTTAACTCACTCATTCCACCACTGAAATATTATGAGCTAAGGATCTGCCCTCTCTGAATGTAGGGTTCGGCGCCACTGCGCGCCGGAGTTGAACGTAACGCTCTCGGAGCTCGTGGAGTGAACGAGACGGACGGACGTAGGTACATGGGCATATTTTGGGGGATGGCGAAGGGGCGATCGCCCCCCCCCCCCGAATTCGTATTTATGGAATTGATTCTATGTGAGATTCACATTTCAAATTTTTTTAATGAGGATCATTTTATAACGAAATCGAATTACGCGTTATAATATTTATAGTTAATTAAGCTCAACAATTATCAGGTAAACACTCACATGAAACTTCTTCCCATTTAGAATTTTAAAATTTGTTAAAATCGTTTTAAATCTACTATTTTTCTCAAGTATAGTCTTCAATTTATTCTTACTTTTACTTCCGATTCTATAAACTGTTGCTGATTCAGTTTTAATCTCGATATCTTTTATAATTTTAAATTTATGGTCTTATAATCAAATATGTACCAAGAGTTATAAGCACCTATATATATATGTCGCATTCATATAGTGAAATCATTCATTTAATGAACTAGATATTCAGATAGTAAAATTCGTCCAGATTGTGAACTCTAATGAAAATGCATTATATGAACATCCATTTCATGAAACGAACATCTTGCTCCATCATGAAATGGAAAATATCTAATGTATATCAGTATAATCAGCCGTGAAAAATGCACTAAATGTAAAGGTTAGATAAGGGTAAAGTTTTTACGTTCATAGACGCACCGAAAGATATCAACGAACCTTTGAAATTATTCAAGAGTACGAGTATCATCAAGAACAACAAACAGCGGAAGAGTCCGACTATAAACATGAGTTCAAAAAAACAGTAAATTGTCACGAAAAAGCCACCGAAGAGCAATAAGCTGATGATGTCCGTTGGCACGCCTAAGGATTCTAGGGGAGAATCAAAAAAGTACGAGAACAATCCTGCAGCTATTCATATTCGTTTATTCGAGTCAGATTGTTAGTAAAACCCGACGAATCGATCGTGCAGAAAACCGAAATAAAAATGCTTGGCACTATGAATAAAGATTATAAAGGATCGAGTGCAAAAAAATTAATGTTTTTTGTGCACGTATCGACACGGAAGTGATGCACACGGATTTGCTAAAATGATTTATAATTGAGAATGAAATGGTGTGTTAAGGCCCCGGAGAAGTAATTTGTTCGTACAAAAAATTTAGTTTAAATTAAATTTATTATTATTATTAAATTAATTGTATTAAATGTATATATAATGATACTAAAATGGCCTTCTTATCTTCTTTTAAACCTTACCTACGTAAGTAACCTACATTACTATCCCACATTCTTACTTAATTAAAAATGTTTTAAAATCACAATGATTTTTAACTGTAATATAAAACCAATGTGTAGAAATGCTATAATTTAAAATCAATATTAATACATGAAATTACTAAATAACTTGCTGTGAGCTTTGATCAATTCATTCTTGTATTCTAGTACGTTATTTTTATAATTCGTTCAAGAATTAATAGTAATTTTTTTAATTTTTCTAATGTTTTTAATTTATTCCACTTAAATTTTAAAAGCATAATAGTCACAAAAAATCGTGTATAATTAGTTATGTCGATGGTGGACATACGGCATAGTAGATGCATTATTTAAATGTTTCATTAAAAATGATCATTCAAAATATTAATTATACGTAGATGTAGCGCTGTCAAATAAATAGTTGATACAAATAAAATATTGTTGACACTTTGATGCAATAAAAATAAATACATAAATTAACCAATTAAATATTATGTTTTAGAACACATCCAGTTTAAGTAAATTTCCATTAGTGGCGTTAAGAAATAAAACGACAATAAAATAATATCATAATTCATAAACGTTAAGCAGCCATAGCTCGTAGGTTATTTATTTTGTATGTTGATTTTATCTTTCACAGTTTTGGTTTGAACTTTATTTTAAAATATAATATAACCATTTAAAAAATGCAAGTTGTGATGCGAATGCTTTCATTAAAAGGATTAGAAATGTTTAAATCAAAAAAATGTATACTTCAGTATTCCTTATTACACCTGAAATCCCATTTTTAATCCGAGGTAATTAGATAGAAATATTTTGAGTTGTCATTTGAGTGAAACATATTGTATGAATATAGATATATTAATAAATAAATAATTTGTTAAGTACTAGCGCAACTAGACTCTTGAGGGCCCCAAAGTCAAATACAAAATGGGGTCCCTTAACCAAAAATGTAAATGGTCTTAAAAAATCTCCCGTCAAAAATTTCATAAAAATAAAAACAATTCTATAAACTACCTCTTTTTAAAATATTATAAACTTTTGAGGTAAAATCAGTATTAATATTTCAAAAACTCTTTGTAAGAAACCATATCCAAATGCTTAACATAAGTTTAATTACTGTTATTAGTAACTGTCCCCGTGACACCATTCCCCCGTTCAAAAGCTATGGCTCGTCGAGTCACGATAACGAATTACAATTAATATGAATACATTTGGATATTTAAAACACTATACTAGGATCCCATTTATTATTTAATCATTAATCAATAATTTTATAATATTATTAAATCAATAACTCGTAGTTTAATATACTCCATAGGATATTAAAAATAACAATAACAGTAAGAATAAAATTGTAGCAGAAATATATCATTTTAAGTTAGACGTAGATGTTTATAGTCAAGTATAGGAAAAAAAACCAATCTTATTGTTTATCCGCTAAAATATATGACATTGTCAAACGTCAAACAAAAAATATGTTTATAATCTATTTATAATGGATATGTAGTTGTATTTTGTTTTTTAATTTTAATTTGTTAAATATTTATTTAAAATTGGTGGTAATAATTATTATTCTTAATAGTATATGAACCATTGTATATACACTACATAATATAAAAATTAGTTTTTTTCTTTACGTTAGTTTAAGTTTCGTATATTATAATATAATACATGAAATATATATTTCATATAATGTAAAAATTGTACTGTAATTGATATTACATAGAAATTTCTAAAAGAAGTCATTATAATAATGAAAGTTTTTTTTTTATGTGTGGAAGCAGTAAAATATCTATTCCCCTAGTGGTGGGCATATCCGGATTATTCAATTCAATTTTGCTGTCCAAGGATTTAAATTTTCATTTGATAATTGTAAGAAAACTTGTCCGTGTAAATAAATCGATAACAATTATTTTTGTATCGTTCCTATATTGCATTGTAATATAAATTTAACTCATATTCAGAAAAGCTTATTCAATAACCTTTCAAAGGAACAAGTCTCAGAATTGTCCAAGGATTTCAAGGCCTTCTGTAATCTGGGGTCCCGGGGCACTATCCCATTTTGCCCTATGATAGCTACGCCACTGCTGCAGACGTAGGTATAGGAAATTCAACAGATATTGTCAATTGATATTGACGTATAATTTTTTCAATGTAGTTAATATCTTCTACTGAGGCGTTTAAATCACATGCGCACAAAAACGAATTTGGATAGTACACATTATTTCAGATTGTTCACCGTACTTTTAAAGTATCCATTAAAACTTGTTTGTGGGCCAAAATTTGAAGACTTCTTGTCAATATTATACAAATGTCTATCCTAAACTAGTTTTCCTTCCGTGATAAATTTGAAAATCATGAAGGACATATCAATTTACACATGAGTAATTTTTAAATCAAAGAAAAAGAAGAAATCATTGACCCAGTTATTTCAGAAGAGATATGATTTCGTATTGCTAGTAGTAGTAGATACTTTTTACAAATTGTGATTAATTATATATCATAATAATTCAAAAGAAAATGGACTCCTAACATATATTTTTACTAAAGGTATCTAAAAGTTTATTATTGGACGGATTTATTCATGAATAATTTTATCAAATGTTATAATCTATAGATAAGGTATACAATGAATAATTTATATTACGTCATGGTCAATGGTATAACAATTTTTACTATTGCATTACATTTAAATTTTGTAATATATTTTGGTTTGACTGTGTTTATATGTCATGAGTAATTTTAGCAATGTAATTTAGAAAATGACTGGTAAAATTGATCGTTTCCCATCAAATCTATCAATGACGAAGCCAAATAAATTTTAACAATACTTAACAAGAATGATTTTAAGTTTTAAAAAAAAATTAAGACATAAAAAACAAGCTATTTCCTTAAAATCAAAATGATGAAATGCATGTGATGAAATATAACATATCAAGATAATAATAATTAGCCTTAAAATAGCTATAGAATTTTAAATAAAATAGATACCTATGAATAGTATTTAATTTGTATAGTAAGGTAATAATATTTTTTTGACCTTGAATCTTACGAAATATTTAGCAGACCGACCAACTATAGCAAAAACAATATTTGTATATGACATTATAATTTTTGAAGTTTTTTCACATAAGCTTTTCACTAAAAATGATGATAATTTTTTTATTTTGATTAAGTAAGACCTTGAATAATATATTTTAGGTATGAAAGAATAATTGCATAAAATACTAAAGTATTAATATAACTACCAAACAAGAATATTTATATTAGGTTAAAATTATATTAAGTTAAATATATTATCCATCCTAAAAAATCAAGCATATTTTATACATACCAGATTCAGGAACAGTATTGTTCGTCGGTGTTTGAGGAAATTCGTGAATGAATTTATAAGACACAG